AAAAAATCAATTTTCTAAAATGGGTGTATATAGAAATGTTTTTTGAGCTTAGTCCATGTTTGAAAAAAGAATGTTCTTACAATAGGCACGTTTCGCTCAATGAAAGCAAAGGATAGGATGTTTTGCTCCAAGTACCCCTATTTGATGTAAGGATATTGATGGAACGAGATGAAAAAGACCAACTCCCTAATAAAATGTTGAAATGAGGATGTAAATCAAAATTTGAAACGATAGGGACGATTTTTTACAAAATATTTATACACAAACTTCGGTTCACAAGTTTAAAATTGTCTTCACTCGGACATTATAAAAGCTGAATTTTATTTTCACCCATTCATGTATAACAGTCCTTCTATTGCAAGAAATCTTTCAAAATGTAAGCCATGTGTCCATGTATCAATTTCACCAAAATCCTGTCTTTCTTTATTTCAAAAAAAGTAAGATTTTAAAAATAAGCTTTCATGGAAAATATTTGCAAGAAGCATTTTGAGCAAAAACGTGGCGAGAGTTTTCCCTTGAATTTTGAATCATCAAAAAGTGATATTGTAACGCCCCAAATTTTTAAAGGATTTGATTGCTACGACAACTAATTATAAGAAAAATCATAAACTAATACTACAATTTATTCAAGTATGCATGGATAGATCAAATAATATTCAAAAACAATCTAAGAATCAGGGACATGATTCGAGGGCATCAATTACCATTTCTTTTAATTTGATAAGACATTTAATGAACCCATCACACCTTTTGATTACTGCATATAACAGTAATCATTATATGAAAACGTTTAAATCACACATAAGGCAACTCTCAAAGATTTAACAGAAAAGTAAAATGAAAAGGTGAACTAAATATTTGAAATTATCTACACATGTATAATAATGTTTTCAAATCCCCAAGTAAAAGTCAAAATAATAGTAATACTAAGGTAAAAACTGGAATTAAAATATTAGTCTTGTTACACTGGATTTATATTATAAATTCCAGACCTCTGGAACCAACGACTGCACCTCATCGCCCGCCAACCAACGATCCGATCTAATCTGTAACGAGCATAGAAAAGGATGAGTACTTGAAAATACTCAATAGGATACGATTAATGCTGCGATCCCGATTAAAAATATTGTATCATGCGTCAAAATATCATACCATCATACTTCTTGAGTACAATAATCTATCAACATGAATAAA